TATAAACGTTATATTATCATCAATTAATCAAATTCAAAAGTTGACATTTCAATATTCACTAGTAAGAGTACTCTAGTTGTTCAAACAAAGTGACGACTTACTTTTTATACTCTCATCATTTATATATATCGAGCCTTACAAACAAAAAAAATCAAAAAATGTTTCCTATTTTTTTGAAGATTTATTTGTTTGTTATATTTGGTCCTATTCTTAATTAAAACAGAAGAACAAGAATATTCTGCAAGCTTTTATTTTATTATATTTGATTATCTTTTATGAGAATGAAATGAATAAATAAAAATATCGATGATGATAAAATTTTCAAGTTCATGAAAATGCTTGATGGTGAATTCATAGAATTTGATCTAACCGTTGTTGATGCTGCAGTTGTCATATTCATATAAGGTAGATAAGTCGAAGATGAAATAATAATTGTTAAATTTAATGGTGATAATGAATTTTGAATTGTTATTTCTCGACTATGAATTTGAAAGCCTCTATAAAGTACCTAAAGTATATTGTATTAAATATTAGAAAGAAGTTCAATGATATAAACAAACATGAAAAAAAGAAAATTGACAATTTATATATCGAACGTTAGTACTCTAGTCATTTATGTTATTACAACTTTATTTTATGTAATTCTATGAGACTCAATCTAGAAGAAGTGCTCAATTATATAGTACAGACATTTGCAATCGCTCCTTCTTCTTCTTCGTGTGATAGATCACATATCACTAACATTCGTTATTGTATTTCTCAAGAATTAATTAAGAGAATGATAAAGATATGTGTCTCATAATAGATAGAATAGAACAATCTCTCTATGATTAGCAAGAACAATTACATCGCGTTTCAAACTTTAATTCTACAGAGATTGTGCTAACTGTTTTTTTATACTAGTTTTGTATTACCTTTAAAGTATATGTTCCAGGTAATAATATTCTCCAAAATTCACCTAATGATGTAACTTTAACAACAGGTTTTCTATTATTAATCATGATTTCTGTTGATGGTATTGGTTGAGAATATTCATTAAGTATTAAACCTTTTACACCTAAACAAAATTTATAAGAAAATAAAAGTTTCTTTTTTCCTTCTTGTTCTAATATCTAACCTCTTTGTGCTTGTAATAAATGTCCAATCATTGCATCACGATTATAATCCCAATAACCAGCAAGTAAATTACTTTCAGGATATTTACAACACGATATTTCCAGTGTTAATTCAATCGTACCATAATTAAAGTAACCATAATCTTGCATACCACCAACAATTTCATACCAATCAGCACCACGTGTAATATAACCAGTATCCGTAAATTGATTTGAACAAGCTTTGTCTGTTTGTTTTGTTCGATTGATATAACTATGTGCCACCATTTGATAGATATCATCATCATCACTCGTTGAAACTCTTCCAACATCTAAATAAAAACAAAATAAAAATTTTTGTTTGAATTTTTATTCGAAGACATTGTTTACAATAACGATCTAATGGTGTATTTATAACAAATGATCCTCCATGAAAATTAGCTGAGAGAACAAATGAAACATTAGCAAGCCAAGACATAATTGCACTTGTTTCTTGTGCTCGAATCGATGATGGAAGTGTAGCACCATAATAATCTGGAAAATTTCGATTTAAATCAATATTATTTAGTGTATATCTAAAACAATTTTAAATAATAAACTAAAAATATAATTAGATTATAATTATCGTTTCTCTGTGTAATAACCTTCCAGTAATTGATGAACAATCACCATACATTGATTTTTCTAAACCATCAGGATTCATAGATGGCATTATCCATATTCGAGATCGATTCATTACTTGATAAACTAATGTATCATTTGATGTTAAAAGATATTCGATTAAATATAATAATACTTCTAATCCAACAACTTCATTTCCATGTATATTTCCGATGTATTTAACTTCAGGTCGAAGTAAAACATGTTGATTTGGTGCATATGCACTAAGTGCCATAGCC